TCGTGTAGAAAATCTATGCCTATTCTTGATCCATTAAACATACTTCTCCTCTCAGCCTCCAACACTTTTCTATATTCTCTCACTTACTCTCCGATGCTCTCTACCACTCTCCTCTGTTTTCATCCGTATTCATCGCTTCTCCACTACTCTTTTCGACTCATCCCACTCTCCAGTTTTCCTCTTCTCTCTCTTCTCTGTCATCTAAATTCACCTCGCCCGCCTTCCTCTCCAATCCACTTCACCCTACTGCTTTACTCTCCTCCGCTCTCCTCTCCTGTGCTCTAAATGTCATTGATATCCTATCCATTTCACTCTGATCCAATTCTCACCTCTCACTTCCTGTCCTCTCCAATCTAGGCCTATTCTCTTCCTACTCAACCATTCTACTTCTCTCTTCTCCGTTTCTCTTCATTCCTCTTGCAGCCACTCTGCCATTCTCCTCGCCTCACCACTCCACTTCTCGCTTCTGATTTCCTAGCTTTACACTGTTCTGGTCTGGTCTGCCCTCCTTTGCTCTGATATACAGCGCTCTCCTCTCTATTCTTATCATCTCATCTCCTCTCCACTTTACTCCACTTCGCGTTTCCTCACTCTCGTCTTAGAGTATCTCCTTTCCTCTACTCAAATTCACTTTTTTCCTCTCCTCTCTTAAACGGTCCCAAAAAACACAAACACATACGCGCACATCTTTGTAACGCAAACTGTAGGGAACTTTAGCAGGAACCGATTCACGTCGCTATGGATACAAATCTGCCCTCTGACATAGGAAAGTGGCTGGAGCTGTTGAGAATAGCCAACGAGAGCGTCATCACACAAAACCGGGCAAGCAAGCCTTAGTACTCAAATGACGATAGTGAGCAACATCATCCTGAATTATCATACAAATCATAAAATAATGCCGCCGACGTCACTTAATGCCTTGCAAATACAGCATTTGGACAGACAATCATACACCCAAAGAAATAAGATGTCATTTGAACAAATTCAAAAATACCTCTGCACAAAATAAAACTTTGGGTAATCTATTTTAAGGGAAATGTTCGCACATATGCCCCAGTTGGTGTGATAATAACTTGCGTTGTTTTAAGTCCAACGCGATAAAGACGATTGATAGGAATGTTCTGTCAAGCCAGATATACCAAATAAAGATTGGAATCAGAGCAGACCCTATTGAGGGCATAAAGGGGTTCCTCTACGAGTAGAAAGTTATGACAGCATAGAGCTGTTATAGCATCTAGCCAGCGCGAATGGTTAAAAATCTCCTGTATAATTAATTTTGTAGTTGCCATAAATTCGGCTGCCTTTGAATAAAGTAACAAGCTCTGGCATTCAAATGGGTCAAGATAATTAGCAAAGGTAGATTCTGTAGCAAAGGGTGCGATAACGTCCATGTCTATGAATCAACCTCTTTTGAGCTCCAATCATTTGTATGGAATTAGACAAATTCATTTAAGGTCGAAAGCAAGATAATTTGGGATTAACACATTTTTGAGACGAATGAAGTTCATTGGAAGATTTATTCATCATGAGCAAATTAACTAACAAGTAAGCAATATTAAACCAGAAATTGGTCTCCGTCGTGATATCTATCGCAAAATTACCAACATCAAATAACAGTATCAAACTAAGTTCATAGGACAATGATTAATTGGCCTAAATATCTATAATCCTATCTAATCGAAAACACTTAAAAAGAAACCAAAATCCATTTAATGCTGTTGTATCTCTGGAGTTTACAATGCTTTTATAGTTGGTCAATTTTTACACTAAATCATGGTAATTTATAAGATAATCTCTTCCGCAATAAGCCAATGACGAGCGCAGTGTAAGCAGGACTGCCAACAGGCTTTGATGTCTAAACGCAATAGAGACGAAAACAATTAATGTGAACAGGGCTTGTATGCAAGCGAAGAAGGCCCATTATTCTTCTTTGCCTATGCTGAGCGCTGGGCAAGATAAGAAAATTGGAGGGGAAGAGGAAGAGTAAGTTAAAATCAAATTTCTACTGCAACCAAGTTTCCTACGAGCGGCTAGTTGTCAGCTCATTTTTGGCTGAGCAAATAACACTCTTTTATTCGGAATAACGTGCAACAAACCAGAAGAATCAATCAGTGAGTGGGAGTTGGATAAGATACACTGGGGGTAGGGTAACGATAAAGAAGCATAATGAGGTCGGAGAGATTGAGATAGGGATTTAAAGCATATCATTCTGCGTGAGTAGATGTCATGTTGTCGTCCATTAGTGCCAATTCAACCCGGGTCAATTGTTGCTTCAAGAACCCCTATCCACCTCAGTATTTTAGAATTATAGCACATTAAAGTTAAGGGATATAAATATTCTACTGATCCTATATAAATATAGTCAAGTATACATATTTGGGAAAGTAATTAAGATGTAATATGGGATTCAATGATTGGTTTAAAAATCTTACTTAAAGTGACCGCAATATTTAGTATCACTTAACTCTAATTGGCATTATGTACGTTGCTTGCATCCAAGAAGATTTTGCCTTCCTACATGCATCTTGGCCGAAGTAGACTCAGGGGAAAAACTAGACTTACTAAAAGATATTTAACTACCAAATTCAGCCATAAATGCTTTTATATATTATATCAATATACTATTCAAACTCGCCTTTAAAGAATTAATTTAAAATCGATCGATCATACAAAAGTTGCTTTAAAATATAAGTGATCTTGATGATAAGAGAGTTCACGATAACTAGGAAAAGTTGAACATTTATTAAATAAAAGGAACAACGAAAGGCCTTAGAGAGCGAAGCATAGGCTAAATCGAATAAATAAGCAAATGAACTCTTCTTCATTTAGATGCAATTAAAAATATAGCTTTGCAAAATACTTTGTGAAGTTTCCTATCAAAGGAGGCAAAGCAAATACTACTCTAATCTGCATAAAATATGGACGAAATCATCTACTCCCAAAACGCATTCGCCAAGAATTTAAAAGCATCACCTACAAACTAGTATTTCTGTAAAAAAATCCTATTATATTTATATTCTGAATTTTCAGTAAAGATTATCAGTAAAAAGTATCCAGGAATAAA